CGCAACAATCCGCACTTTGAGGGTGCTAAGCGGGTACCATATAATGGGGCCACATTAGAGAGACTATTCAGAGATTGTGCTGCCCTAACATAATCAAGATCAACTAGCCTTTTATCAGGCAGCACTTCAACGCCAGCATCGTGATGCTCCGCAAGGGAACACTCCATGATGCAGTCCACGACGAAATTAAACAAAAATGGTGAAATTGGACAACCCACACGATCGCGACATGTCACCGCAGACTCTGACGCAGCCTGTCGTCTTCGGGTGTAGAGCACGTCAAATATTCACATATTTCATGAAAACACCTTCCCGTATTTCGAGCAGAATGCATTGATCGACTGAGTCGAACGCAGTCTTGAAGTCCAGGAACACAGCTATTGTTGATCTGAGGTACAAAGTGAACAAATGTCCACGCAACATCGTCCTGGGCGGGAATCTGGCTGCTCTTCCCCAATCTGGGATACTCGTTTCGCAGTCTGTGCGATTGCCCCTCTTGTATATTACCACTATTTACTCACCTCAGTTAGCAGAGGATCTCACTTCCATCCTTAAATAGCGCAGATAGGAGGGAATCCGGGCCAGCAGCACGGAAACGATTGATGGCTGTGATCGCGTTTCGAACCTCAGCCTCCGATGGAGCCTCTAAACTAACAGCCCATCGCTCATCTTGCATTACCTGAGGTTTTAACACACCCTATCGGTGTCATTGAACACCTTTCCATTGTATTATTATCCAGACTATGAATTAGATGTTTACAGCGTAGACACTTGATAGCCCATCCCTCCTTCCATGGCATTTGTGAGCCATCATGGCAGCGTATATCTTGTTCGCGAAAACCTCACTCTTACACGCAGCTTTTATGCTTTCGTTATCGTGCATTATGGGCCTGCCGATTCCCAAGCCATGCTGTTGTGGTAGCCGAGATGATAATTAGTATGAAGACCTCAGCTCGTGCCGCTATCTCCCATTTCCGCATTCTACGTCAGATCAATTCGCGCACATCACTGACTTACATTTTACACTAGTAGGGTTGTCGAGCGCCTGATGTTACAACCAACCTATGTCTGGGAAGCTGATATTCCAGAAACAAAGAATGCATACGTTGCTTTATTGGGGACGTGGAGCCAACGACTCGGTGCATTTATGGCAGCGATGCTACAATCAATTGGTGGCAGTTTGATACACTAGGTCCAAGTGGGCATCCGCGTGCACCTGGCTTGACAGCATCTGCAGCAAACCCAAGGGGCAATTTTACCTTTCGTTTTGTCTATGCGCGCCGATCGATTACAACAAGTATGAAAACATGGGCCCTTCCGACAACCCACATCGATACGACTAAGAGCACGAAAGCTGAGACCGTCATGGGTAGCATGAATGTCTAGTGCCTCAATGAGCCGACTCGGCTTCGGAGTTGTTGCCTGTCGATCTAATAACAGCGAGCAACTTATTCAATGACAAAACTACCTTGTAGTACAAACCTATGCATCAGGTCACCTGGTTTGCGCCAAACAAAGCGACGCATTTGACGTATTTCGGCCTACCCGTTATTAACTGCAAATCGTAGGCCGGTGGCAGGTCGAGAGAATTGAGCGCCTGCCCTGTAATCTGGAGGTCACCAGTTCGAATCCACGTAGACGAGGGCGGCCGTGCAATGTACATAGCCTATGAGCGACAAGTGGTGGTCGTGTGGTGCCGGAGTACTGCTGATACCCGACCACATTGTGTTCGCCAATGAAGTACTGTTAATTAATCGGAAATACAAATTATTTTGTTCGACTTGTGTCAGACGCCGCACTGGAGCTTCTTTTGGCCAAATGAACTCAGCTCGCGATTTCTCTTCGAAATTGGTTCTGATCGGCCTTAGGTGATGTGCTTGCATTCGCTGAATTAGTGACTTGATTTGTACGAAATACTTGAATGAGAGTGTGGCGGTCTGCAATGTGACGAATGTGGTTGTTTGTGCCGTAATGGATAACTCAGCTAATGCAGAGGTGTAGGGCAGAGAAATGCTGCTCCGATTTTTTCTTGTCTTCTTTCACTACGAATCCTTGGGATGGACGGCTGCGTTAGTTGAGCACTTGCACTTGGTGCTACCTCCGTTCCGGTAACGGTGTTTCAGATTTTCATCATCATCATCATCAATACACGTTAGCTGAGGGCGAGTAACACACCTAAGCTAATGTGCCGCTATTCAATATACTACAAAAATTCAAAAATCAAGTAGTATAATGCTAAATAACCTATTACCTTGCTATGAAATCGTGCTTGGAAGGGGAATCTATGGGGAAGGGGATGGACAAAGAAACACGCAGTACAAACGCCATTAGGGCCGACTCCTGGCCATGTCAACAAGTGTGTCTAACCAAACCTGTTCTTCGGACCTCTGCGGGATGCGCCAGCCTTGACCCCGTTCTAAATCCTCATCACGTAGGATCAGTGCCATAGAGCACAGCAATCGTCTGTGGAACACCCAGGTATGTTAGTGCTCGCGACACCTGTGTTTGTTGCTCCCTTCTATCTGAGATACTTTAGGACTTGGGGCTGCACTTTTTCATCACTTGTGTGTGGATGGTTTGTCCTCCTAATAGCAATGTTTTGTCGCACTGCCTTCTGCTTCATGTTGATCGTTTCTCCATCTTTTCCTGCTTTGTATGTACACCCTCTGCAACCTTTTAGTCATGACTTGCTGATTTAAACAGTTACGTATGATGTTCCGGCGTCTCTGTTCCTTTTGTGTTATTCCACTCTTTTGTGTTATCTTCAGTCGAATGTCTGCAAATATGTCCAATGGTAACAGACGGAGGACGCCACCTCAGGTCCCATCTTATAATCATTTTCGCGACCCTGTTTCGGAACCGTCTCCACCCCAAAGACGAGTGCCCTCTCGAAGCCACTCTTCGAAAGGCGTGCCAATGCAAGCCAGGCGCGAATACCGCGATGTAAGCCGCAGTCCTCCCAGGTCACGTAATGTCGCTTTGGTTCGCCCGTATCCCGATGTGTCACCTCGTCGTCCATCGCGCAATGATCGAGATCGCAGTCCGATACACGGTGGAGGTTCGCGTCCAAGAGTTGTAGACTATGGACATCGATCTGGTATGTATTTTTAACGATTGCAATTAATCAAACAGTATACTGTTCATTCTTTTCTGCGTGTTTGGATTCTTGCATTTCAGGTGTTGACCGTTGATTGTTATCCTCGGTGTGGCTGCGCTTGCTCTGAATAGTACCAAGGTGCTTACCCGTCTATTACTCACCACATTTTGCCTATACTGACTCCAGGAGACAGTTGATCGTTACTGGAGTGGACTGGGGTGCACGGTCCTTGTGGCCGTGCTAGGCTCAAAGAGTGGTTCCGTGCATTCAGTGTGGAGCAGGCTACAGCCCAGCCACCGCCTTGTGTACGTCTGGCACGCATGATTTCCCACTTAGGCATGAATGCTTCTTCTCTGTTTGTTGACTGGGTGTGGGCTGGTTCCGTTGAGTATGCATGGCTCCCATCCACATGCCTTTCGGTCTTATTCCTTCGGGTTTACACTGAACATGAGGTATGTGGATGAGTCTAAGGGTGGCATCGCAAGTCACCCTTGGTCTCCCTATAGACGCAGGCGTCCTCTGGCTGTCCTATGGAAGCCATAGTGACAAGCAAATCCGGAACCGGATGCCGCCAACCAATTAATCAGCGCATTTTTATTCCGTTCACCTTGACTCACCACTTTTTATGCTTTTTCACGCGTTTTCCCCCAAGTTATTGTGGCAGTCTTCGATGTCTCTTTTTCAGTTGGCACAGGCATTTTCGTTGAATGGCGAATAGTTTATCAGGAAATTTCTCTTCTTAGATCAAACATACAGTACTTGTGGCTTTAGCGGAATAATGGCCAAACTTGTGACTGTTACACCGTGTCTCACTTGCTCGCATGTATTCACCCATAGCCGTTCATCAGGTCATTAAATTATATTACTGCTACTACTACCATGCATGGAAACCCGCACTCGCTTATGCTATGTCACTTGGATCCTGATGAGCTCGACTGTCGAACGTTAACCATGAAGCACCAAGTTAGTGTAACTTCTGCAGCTATGGACTGTTCATGTTGTCGTATTTTGCAACGTCGTGCCTTTAGCTCTGCTGTGTGTCGTACCGTCTACACCAGGCAAATAAAACTAGTGGCCTTCTCCAGTCACGTGCTCTCTGTATACGAGGTCACTAAACTGCAATGTGATTCAAACTGGATAAATGTTCTTCGTTCAAAGAAACTGTACACGGTTGTTTCAAACAGGGTTTTTACACTTGAAAAATACCACCTTTCCCTCAATTTCAAGAGCATAAGGTAAACACGATTGTAACTGCGATTCAATGCAGTGCAATAGCTGAGGTGTTTCTCATCGCTAGCCAACGTGCACACTTATGATGATAGTGATACTACGATTCCAGCTACTTAGCAGTTGGTATCTCTTGATTATAACTTTCCCTGTTGGGTTACGTTAATCTACACACACCGCACACATTGTGTGTGTTTCAACTGTTCAACGTCATGTGATTGATTACCCGCACGCAAACTGGTAACACTTTCATTCAACCGCACAAGAGTGGTCTCCACTGTGATTAAGGTGATTATCTTTCTTATGTGAACGGTCGTTTTTTCTCATGAAATCAACAAGAGCTTCTCAGCTAACAGGACTGCCGGATCAGCACTTGTTGTCTCAGATCAAAGTCCCAACTGCAGCCCTATTTTAACCAGAAGTAACAACAAATCTCATTACAATGGTATCAAGCCTATGACTGCACAAAACAAGCAATTGAACAGTCCTGACAATTTTTTACGCTTATGCAAATCTACGCTAATGTTTGAAATTTCGTTTTGTAAAACAGTTCACTTCATTTGCGCGTACGTTTTGCTTTGGTGTAGCCAGATTAGCAATTGTGGTGCCCTCGGTAGCCGCATGGGTTACATGTCTGGCTGCCATAAACTATGCATCTATTTATCTCTTCTTTCAGAGCCACAAATGAACTGGAATGCCTGGAGGGGCGATTTCACGGATATGCCCGCCCCTTCTGGACACACTTGGAAGCCAACGGGGCACTCAATGCTTTCCAACTACGGTAGCCGGGACTCCGGCCGACGCTATTAATGCCTCCTACTTTGTCTCCGCATTAAAATTTTCGGCAATACTTTGTACATTCTCGTTCTTTTAATGAGCTCCGTAATACATTCTTAATCGTGCACCGACTGTCCTTGATCCAGTGGTTCTTTGTATCGTTGCGTCATTTACACCCATTTAGTCATCATCTTGGCATGTTGAGCAGTACAGCTTGAATCGATTATCTCATAAGTGGCGGGAGCATCAGCACACAATGAATCTGAGAGAGTCTTCTGATCTCATGCGGCAATATATTTTTCGTTCCACACTCTCAGGATTGCCTGCGCTCAACATTGGCCTAAAGCATTTTAGCACTGGTGAATCTTTTGCCGAATAACTAGGTGATAAGACGAAGTAGTAAAAACTTGACGACGTTTCGCATTATGGACGTTTTCCTTGTGACAGGTGCTTCCCTGCGCACATGCTTCCGGTCTTTATTCTTGATAATCTGGAAGTATACTTAGTCGGACAATCAGGAAGAGACTTCTCTTTAGGCGCCTATGCTATTACGTGGCATAACAGTCGGTGGGGCAAGTATGCGACCATCTCCAACTTGAGTTGCTTCTCGTATTGAACCGTTCGTTGTCTATCGCATATCGAGATTACAACCTGTTAAGTGAACCCGCTCGTAGTAACTTTAAGTCTGGTTCCACGTGGGTAATTTCGATAGAAGCTTGGATCAAAGCAGCTTGGCTAGAAGCTAGCCAGTGACAACACTCGATTTTGTAGCCTACCAGCAATTGCGATTTTGCTGCATCTGATGGCTCAGAATCTTCATGTCATTTCCTCGGACTATGAAATCAAAGTCAATTCTACTGTTCAATGCTGTTTCCTTTGCCTCAGGTGTTGTTGGCTTTATCTTCTATTTTGGAAAGTAGATGGACTGACATTTGTAGAAAGCTACCGGTTACCATTGTCGACATGCACATCAAGCGCAGCCACGCGGGGGATATCAAGCAACAGCCAATCACTTGAGAGGAAGCTAACAAAGAAAAGAAATCGAGTAATGCATAAGGAAACTGACAAAAATCTTAAATTAATGAGCATATGAAATAAATTGTAAACAAAGGATCCGAGATTAGTTCACGAGGTCCAAAAATATGTTTTACGGAAATGACACAAGCGCGCAAATTTTATAAAAATAACTACAGTTCGTTTCAGCGATTTGTTCAGTTTTATCAATGAGATTACAAGTGGACATTTATTTGAGAAAGGAAAGCATTAGGACTAAATTGAAAACCCACCACCTGAAATAAAGAGACTTAGCATGTAAGCGGGCGGTTAGTAAATCGAATGCAGCGTACCTACAAACGCTGCGCCGGTTCTGCCTACGTTCTCAGCAGGACCGGTCGTCGCTTCAGTAGTGGTCCCGAGCTACCTTGCTCATGGCTCACTAGGCCTGTCTCACTCAGGCACTGGCGACCGCATGTGCTACAGCTCCATGCGCTTGATGATGATGGAGTACAACCCATCGTAGCTTGCCGCTTTTTCTCTGCATGCATGAGGGCTTTCTCTTGCACCTCGGCAACTGCCTTCGTGATCAGATCGCGCCATGCACGCCGATCAATCGCCTTCGATTCCCATGATCTGCAATCAAGGTTAGAACGTGTGAGGCTCACTTTAATCATGTCCTGGTAACGTAACTTTGGTTTCCCTACGTGCCGCTTCCCAATACTCAGCTGACCGTATAAAAGTTGTTTCGGTATCCGCGTCGAATCCATACGGCTCACATGACCGAGCCATCTCAGGTGTCTTAATAAAAGTATGCAGTCCACTGCATACATCCCACTTGGGCGCTAAACTTCCGTGTCTGCAACTCTGGCGCCCCAGCCGACCCGCAAAATTCGTCGCAGACACTGCTGATGGAACCGCTCGAGATATCGCATATCCTGACGGTACATCGTCCACGTTTCACTGCCGTATAGAAGAACGGACAGTACCATGGATTTGTACACCATCAGCTTCGTGCCAATGGTAAGCTGATGGTTGTTCCACACTCGGTACTCTAGCTTCCCGAATGCTGCCGCTGCATTCGACACGCGATTGCGCAACTCAACGTGTAGCTGCTGATCAGTCGACATCACACTCCCAAGGTAGCTGAAACGGGAGGTGGTTTCCAATACTTCAGCACCAATGCTGATTCGCGACAATATTGAAGATTGCACCTCCGGTGAAGGCTGAAAGAGACAGACAGTTTTCCTTATGTTGATGGTGAGCCCGAATGTAGCCGCTGTCGAAGCTAGAGCACTAGTCATGTGCTGCAACTCATCCGCGCTGTGTGAAAACAACGCACAGTCGTCAGCAAACAGCAACATACGGATAGTTGTCTCACAGACTATAGTTCTCGCACCGAAACGACGGATGTTCAGCAACCCACCATCAATACGGTGCTCCACACGAACACCGTAAGCACAAGCCGCATCAAAAGCACAAGACAACATTGCATGAAGATATATATTAAACAGGGCAGGAACTAAGACACAGCCTTGCTTCACACCAGAGACAACTGCAAAGTCATCCGAGGTCTCCACTCAACTGCACCCTCGCTCGCATACCACTGTGCAGACATTCAATTAAGCTTACAAACTTACGCGGGCAACCAAACTTACCCAACACCAGCCACAATGCCTCGCGGTTCACCGTATCAAATGCTTTGGTGAAATCAACAAAAAGCGAGTACAATGGCTGGTGTCGTTCTCTGCACTTCTCTTGCAACTGACGAGCCACAAACATCATATCTATAGTGCAGCGACCCGAACGGAATCCATATTGCTCTTCCGCCACGTTAGGTTTCACAACCTGATTGACGAGGCGGTTGAGCAGGATTCGGGCAATCACCTTGCGCACACAACTCAGCAAGTTGATGCCACGATAATTCGTGCAACATTGCTTGCTACCTTTGCCCTTGTACAGTGGTAGCACAAGGGCATCCTTCAGCTCAGCAGGCACCTCCTCCTCAATCCACACGCGTTGCACCAAGTGGTGCAGCGCAGTCAACAACGCGGGTCCGCCGTGTTTCAATACTTCAGGCGGGATCCCGTCGGCTCCGACACACTTGCCGTTTCGCAGCTGAGCAAGTGCTCTCTGCGTCTTATCCAGTGTCGGCGTATCCGCCAGACTCAACTTCACATCGTGCTGCTTGAGGCTGTTCAACGTAGGCCAGTCGATCTCCGAACGGTTGTTCAAGAGACGGTCAAAGTGTTTCCGCCAGATCTGCATTATGTCTGCAGTCTGGGTGCAGGTAGCGCTTGAACTACCATCGATCAGCGTCCTCAGAGGCTCCAATCTCGGTCCATACACCGCCTTCAAGGAGTCAAAGAATTCCTTATGTTGACGGCGTTCGGCGTAGCATTCCATCTGCTTCGCCTTCTCCGTCCACCATGCATTTTTAATGCTACGGAGCTCTCCGGTCAGTTGCCGTCGAAGTTTGCGAAACTGACTACTCTTCCCCAAGTCACTGGGGTCTGCCACATGTGCAGCAAATGCTGCATTCTTCTCCGACACCAGTGCGCCGATCGTCGCATTGTTTTCATCAAACCAATCAGGCCGTTTACAGTTTGCGCGCCCGATGGTCTCCTCGGCAGCAGCTGTCACCTGATCGCGAATGTGGTGCCACAGGTCGCCCACTGTGGCTATGCAGTCCACATCACACAGGCGTGCAGCCATCGCCTTCTCCAGCTCAGTACGTTTCGCCACAGTACCGAGGGAGAGAATGTTAAATTTCCGCCGATTCACGGCGGGAGTGCAATACATCGATTTACGAAAATATATGTACAGTTTGGTCCGCACCAACTTGTGATCAGTGCCACACTCAGCTCCACGCAGTACACGTGTCATGCGCACTTCACGCAAACCACGCTGACGTACGATGACATAGTCGAGCAGGTGAGGGTGACCACTCCGTGGGTGCGTCCAGGTTGCTATATCACTCGCACTCAGTGCAAACTGAGTGTTCGTGATCGTCAGGCCGTGAGTGGCACACAGTGAGAGCAGCCTGTCACCGTTCGCATCCGCTGAACCAATGCCATGCGCACCGATAACATCTGTCCACATCGATGCATCACGCCCAACGCGCGCGTTGAAATCACCCGGCAGAAATAGTCGGTCGCTCCTCGGCACAGTCCATATCACGGAGGATAGCTCAATGTAGAACTGATCACGCGTGTCATCAGTATAACACATGGTCGGACCGTACGTGCTTATAAAAGTAGCAAACTTACCTCTTCCGAGTCGTATGCGAACAGGCATCCGTCGCGCACTGATGCCCGTTGGTTCACCCACCAGCTGGCCATGGAGACGATCGGATATTGTAAATCCGACCCCATGTTCACGTGGTGCTGAGGCGGCGTTGCCCACGCAGTAGAATGTGTAGCCAGCACCTGCTTCACGCAACTTACCTTGCTCAGCAAGCCGAGTTTCACTGAGTGCCGCAATATCGATGTTGTAGCGCGTCAGTTCCATCGCGACCAGTGCAGTGCGTCTCTCCGAGCGCTCGCTGGAGTTTCGGTCCAGTAGTGTGCGCACGTTCCAGCACCCGATGCTGAGTGCTTTGCGCGCAGGCATACGATTGCATTGGTGGGCAATCGCACGCGCGGTGGTCGTTGTGCTTCGGAGGTTTGCTTGAGGGACTCCACCCGGAGCCTTTGGCTCAATAGTCTGACCCACAAGGCAGTGGGTGATTTGGAGGTTTGCTTGAGAGACTCCACCCGGAGCCTTTGGCTCAATAGCCTGACCCACAAGGCAGTGGGTGGTTTGGAGGTTTGCTTGAGGGACTCCACCCGGAGCCTTTGGCTCAATGGCCTGACCCACAAGGCAGTGGGGAGCAGATCCAGCTCGGGAATATGATTGCAGAGACAGATGGGGATCTGCTTGACGGCCGTCACACGCAGCCTTTGAGGTTCTGGAACAATTATTATATGTTTTGCGACCGTAGTAGGATACGCACCTGCGACCACGGCCAGACGCAGGTGGGTTTTTATCGGGTTTGCACCAATTTGACCAGGGGCTGCCTGGCTTGAGGCGGGCAGTAACAAACCATTGAACACCCGGAGGTGTCCTCCCACCGTCAGAGACAATGCGTGGCACT